GATATCCCGTCCCGTTTACCTGACCAACTAGGTGGTGATGCGTCCTGCGTCGTTCGACGTCATTAATTTTTTGGCGCTGGTGGTTCGCCTACGCTTGGATCACGCATCGTTGCATTATACCTCTTTCGGCCGTGCGTCAGTGTTAAACGTTATGGTGGCTCTCTCATTCCAATGGCGATGACAAAAACTGATCAAATTTGACTGTGAACATGCGGTGCGTATTGTTGGCGGGACCAATAGAGGGCTCTTGACGGGGGACTTTTAACAACGCAACGACGGGTGACTTTTAATGACGTTGGTCGGAGTCGAGCACCAACTCTGTCATGTTCCGCGCACAGTTGTGAGGCGCCGGCGCGCCTGATTGCGCTTCTCCGGATCCGAAGTATGGCATCTTTACTTCGACAAAGTTCCCAACGTCAGGGCGTCCTTGGCAATGTGTTCGATTCTTGCGTGGCGTCTCCATCGGTGGTATGATGTGTGACTACGGTCAGTGTAGCCCCCGTGATGGGGTCCATATAGTTATACCAAAGTAGTAGCCGGACCGCAGCGTCCCCTCCCCCCTTCCCAGCCGTCCTGGCCACGAAGAGAATCAGTTATGTAGTTTGCAGACTCGGATCAGGTTTTGTGCCGAGCTGACAAAAACAAGGCTCCTGCTGGACACAGCTGCTTCTTATTGCTCGGTGCTCTCGCCCTGCTCCTCTTTTATGAGTGGTGCTTCTTCCAATGCCTTTGTCAAGAAGAGGCAATATTCTCGTTATGATATCGTGAGCATTTGATGATGTCAATATCGTGATCCTGTTGCGGGTCGCTTGGACTGATTTGGATTCACATTTGTGCATTTGTATTATTTCCCCCATTTATTCCAACGTATAACATACTATACACCATCACATGTCACAAGATGCGACCGTCGATCGTGTTCCCTTTTTCCTCACATTCAGTTGTGGAAGCCTGTAAGCACAAAGCCATCCTAACACCAGACTGTTAGATGTCGAAAAAAGACCACGTGCGAGCGAACTTGGTCAGCGTTCTCGTGCTGAACGCCGCACATTGTTCACCTCCTTAACTGTGCACAAAAGGATTGGACCTTGCAAGTGACGGATCACGTTCCTGATTGCGACACTGCGAAATACATTATTTAATAAACTCTTGAAATGAACGGGAAAAGCTAACATCACACATACGGAAATAGCAGACAGGAGCAGGGGCTTCATCACGATCAACGGAGGTCAATCTGTTGGTGATAACGTGGCGCACTGTAAAAGGTTTCGGTAAGCGGCGCTCCACGATCAAGTCCGTTCAGAATTCCATCGACTGAGAGCCAAGCCTGGAATTATGCAAATGCCCCCGCGTAGTTCCGGCAACCCTGGCACTGATCGGTCGCTGGGATTCCGAGGAGGTGGGGCAATTGGTTCGTTGGCAAAATCTGTGCAGCTTTCTGGTTTGCAGCCACCTCAGTTTGAAGTCATCTGTTGTGATATAGGATTATCTGTATATTTTAGTCTACTGATTTCGGTTCGTCGCCCGCAGTTTATGCTCTCATTTCTTTTTTGATTTAACAGGTTGCGAAATGTGCGTTGCTGACAGCAGTGAATCATACCCAGATTTCGCTGCTCCGATACACTTGTTAAGCTGCTCGAAAGCGTCAGGAAGGCGTTATTAATGGGCTTCTCCTGGGCGAGGACCTCCTTCCAGGAGGGAGATATGGCGTGATAAATCGACTGCCACCTCATTCAAGTACCATATCCATGTTCGAGACGAAGGTCGATCTCGTTAAGAAGTTTCTAGCCGCGGATGTTGTAGATGTTGATTATTTGCAGCACAGATCGACGGATTAATCGATTTACATTTGTGGTTCGGCTCTTGGTCCATGGTCCACCTTGGCCCATTGATATGCTGACTGCCGATAATTTGAGCTGATTTGAGTGGACCACATCCATTCAGGCATTAACTGCGTCTAACCAAAAGGCGGTACCGCCCAGCATGCTACCAGACAAATAATCTACCCTTTTGTATTCCTGCCTGTCCAAAGCCCTCTTGTTCCTCTTCTGTTTAATGACAGGCCTGATGTACCTCTGTACTGGGCCAGACATCGAAACCAGCTCAGCATTACCGAATACGAGCCCTTGCGCCGATCCGGTCATTATAATAATAGCGTTGCTATACCACTTATATATATATATATATATATATATATATATATATATATATATACAAATATATCTTTATACATGTTGCGACCCGAGGACCGTTACTTTACCTCAAATATATACCTATATATATATATATATATATATATATATATATATATATATATATAAATATATATATATATATAAATATATATATATATATATATATATACATACATATATATACATGTATATATATACATATATATATATATACATATATATATATATACATATATATATATATATATATATATATATATATATATATATATATATATATATATATATATATATAGATCATTGCCAGCATAACGTGATGGCTGCGTAAGTCGCGTGAGCCTGGTGCCACCGTCTAGCCACGGACCAGGTCGTTGATTCTCTCAGCACTGTCAACCGCCATTTTCCGAGCCGTTCCCTTACAGGACACCGCCATGTTACGACTGAACACGCATTACTGCCACCGACGGTTTTTTTGCAGCTGAAGCAGCTGATTGAAGATTTTTCGCTTACCTTGCGTCTGGCTTTCCCTTTTGAACAGCTCACTGTCATCCATCCCGCTGACCTTTTGAACAGCTCACTGTCATCCATCCCGCTGACCTTTTGAACAGCTCACTGTCATCCATACCGCTTACCTTTCAACAACATTGTATTCTCGCAGAGATGCTACCTTAGTGACCCTGGGGCCTTTGCGGAAGCCTGCAGAGGGGTGCCCTGGCGCTGTTAAGGCTAACGGCTGCCAGGTCTTCGGGCACTACCTCCACCAGTGGAAACGCCCGCTGCATGACGTCACGGACGGACTCCCTTGGGTCGGCCGTCAGCGGCGGAGCCAGGGCAGTGTGCCGGGGGATCAGCTCGGACGTCTTCCATCGCGTGTGTCTGAGCTTGGGTCGGCCGTCAGCGGCGGAGCCAGGGCGGCGCGCCGGGGGATCAGCACGGACGACTTCCATCGCATGCGTCTGAGCTCAGCGGCGTTTTGCATGGCCTGTCACTAGCTTGGAGGTGGTCACTTTGACATTTTTTATCACTTCTACACTTTTAAGTCACTTGTACACTAAGCTTGTCAATCTGGTCATGTTCGGCTGCGTGCGATTTCAGGTCCACTACCTTTGGTTCCAGCCTGGCTTTGGCGGCTTCCAGTTTTGTTTCGATTTCTTAGCAGCCAGTGATAATTTTTATCTGATCTATCAAAATCGTTTTTCGATGCGTGATTTTCATTATCTGATGAAGGTCATCGCGTGACTTAAATTTGGATATCAGGAAGCTTTCATTTACTGAACCATGCGAATCCTCTGTAACATTTATTTTACGGATTCCTGCTTTTGACCCGTCTTGCTAGCCGTTTTGCTTGTTTCAAGGAAAACGTCGGCGTCGTCGTTGCCTAGACCATTTTCTTCACTTCGTCCATGATTTACTCTTCATTCGCCCTGTGTCTGTATCCAGCTCACTTCTCATTTAAGCATCGCGCCGCTCATCCATGGGTGTGAAGTGTATAGAACAATTCACTTCATGTCGCCGTTGGACTCTGGCCGGCACGAACCCCAGCTCAGACACGCATCGCCGCAGAGCCCGCTGACACGGCCTCATCGCCACAGAGCCCGCTGACACGGCCTTATCACCACAGAGTCCGCTAACACGGCCTCATCACCACAGAGCCCGCTGGCACGGCCTTATCACCACAGAGCCTGCTAATACGGTCTCATCACCACAGAGCCCGCTGACACGGCCTTATCACCACAGAGTCTGCTAATACGGTCTCATCACCACAGAGCCCGCTGACACGGCCTTATCACCACAGAGCCCGCTGGCACGGCCTTATCACCACAGAGCCCGCTGACACGGCCTTATCACCACAGAGTCCGCTGGCGCGGCCTCATCGCCACAGAGCCCGCTGGCACGGTCACGCAGTGCAGCTGCGGGGCCCCGGACCTCGTCCACCCTGGGCTAGAGTCAAGGGCCGGGTGAATTCATATTAGTATATCCCTAAGCAACATAGTGCAATCCCATGCATGTGCTGCGCGTGTATACGCACCGAGGAGACACATAGCAGCAAAGCATGTCAGGTCGTTTCTGTCACGTCCTCAGACGAGCCCGGAACCTTTAAGAATATGAGATAGCGGACCTTTGCCCCAGACGTCTTCCGTGTTCTTTTACATCAACCACGTTTTGGCCGTTCTTCATTTGTGATTTGAATACGGGAACACGTCTTTTGAATAATGATAATTAAGCGTCCGCTGAAAATGTTAGAAATTTATACGCGCAGTCCGCGACGACGAATTCATCCGCAATGCGTGTTACTTTCGCAGCGACTTTGGCGCGCGAACAAAGTGGAGCGATTGAATCACTGACGAGCGCTGTCCTGTGTCCTGGTGGGAAGTGTCTCCACGCTGTTCAACAGTTCAACAGTGGTTCCCGATTGCCACTGGGGTTTCCGACGTAATCAGCTGTTGAGGCTACATGGCTTCGCCATCCTTGCCATCCTGGCAGGGATAGCGGACACTGTGGGAATCGAACTCCGTCCCTCTGGTGTTCGTACCATACTTCCGGTATGTCATCTTCGTTCGTGCCCTTTGTCCGTACCCTGTGGTGTACGGACAAAGGGCACGTGGTGGTGTCCCCTACCTCTGGTGCACCTCTGGTGGACGGGGCACCCGATCCATTGCGGTCCCGACGGGGATGCCTCCTCGCCGTGCACCATAGAAACAGGTCACGACGAGCGATGACCCCGCCCACCGCGTCCCTGTGTGACCCCGGCTGGCGGTGCGGTGGTGTCGGCGGCGATCGCTTGAGTGCTGCGCTCCCTTCCAGACGGGGGCCAGTGGGAGGAGGTGCGCGCCGAGGGCAGCCGGCCGCTGAACCTGCAGGAGCACACGATGGTGGGCTGGCAGCACCAGCTGTACGTGTTCGGCGGAGAGGTGGGCTTCTCCAGCGGCGCCGAGACGCCTCTCTGGCGCTACGATACCAAGGTGAACCAGACGTCCGCGCGTTACCACTGCAGCTTTGTGGCGATGGTGGTGGTGGCAGGGCGAAAAATGACTCATCGCTAAAGAGCTTGTGCATCCTTCAGTTAGTGCTTAGGCATGTATCTTGGCAGATCATGACCTTCTAGATGTAGTTACTTGAAGTTAGAGCTAGGTTGGAAATGCCATGTCCAGATGCTGTTCTCAAGCTCACCTTCGTCGCACGCTATCTTCGCCTTTGCTGGTGGGGATCTCTCAGACCAAGTTCGCTGCCCTCTGCCGCAGAGCGTAAGCATGCTGGAGCCTTGTAAACACCTTTTTGCAGCGTGGCATAGCGGACCATAGCAAATGATATGTTTCGATTTCGCGAGGGGTGTGGCGGATCTTCGCAGATGACTTCCGCATGTTTTGTTTCACATCCGCACCAATGGTGGATCTAACATTGTAACTAGGGCAGGCAATCTCGGAAAATTGTGTCATGTTTGCTTAAACGGAATGTTCCACTTTTGAAGAAATTGAGACAAACATTAGATATCATGAAATAAGCTCACTTGTGACTATTGGTATGTTTTTAAGTGCAAAATGCCCCTCTAGAAAACAGCATTTCATTATGTAGTAAATACGCTCCTTAGTACATCCCATCCCCCCCCCCCCCCACTGCCGCCTCGGCATTGGCGGCACGGCGGGCGGCCCGGAAGTAGGCCATTTCCGTCGCCGGACCGCTCTGGCTGCTTGTTACGGACCGGGCGTGCAGCGCCGGCCGCCCCTCAGCGCTTTGGGGCGGAAGGCGGGCCACTCCACGGCCCAATTAGCGATCTCCGCCGGAGGGCGGGCCCGTCAGGAGCCGGCCCTCAGGCTGGAGAGGGGCCTGGAGAGACACGCTCGCCGCTGAGAATGAGAGCAGGCACGCTCATCTGACTAGAAACGCTCGCCGCTGGGGACCACGAGCAGACACGCTCATCTGGCGACCCCGACAGAGAGCAGACACACTCGCCTGGCGACCTCTCCCACCCCCCCCCCCCCCCTCCCCTCAGACAGAGAGCATGCACGCTCGCCTAGCGACCCCACGCTCAAACAGAGAGCATGCACGCCCGCCTGCCGACCCGGCCTCGCCGCTTAGACAGAGAGCAGACACGCCCACCTGGCGACCCACGCTGAGACAAAGAGAAGATACGCTCACACAGCGAACCGGCCTGGCCGCTCTCTCCCGGCTGCAGCCGTCGGCCGGCGGGCTTTGCCTCCCGGGATGACGTGCGCTAGTGTTTTGTCTCGAGGGAGGTTGGCTTCAGTCCGCTCCAATTCTCCAACTCTCCGGGGGGCTTTGTTAGGACGAGGCTGAAAGGGACGCCGGAGATAAGCTTGGAGCATTTTTTGCGCATCCGTTGTTGTTCGATAGGTGTTGACTGTTTTGTTGGAGTTTCAGAGCCGAAACTTTTTAAAGATAATTTGCATTTCCCGTATGATCAGCAGAATAAATAAAGGTATCTGCACCTGCGTGCAAAATGCTTCCTGAAACGTGTACATATTGATACGAGCGGTGTCTCCTCATATTCCTCTCCTGGCTGCACAGCTGATTTAGTTTCGATGTTGGCGAGGTCGTTGTCCTGTCAGAAGCTGCATGGGATTTCAGACTGCTGGTTGGAGTGTTGATTCAGCACATGTGCTGGTTTATCATGTGCTAGACAAGCCATAAATCAACCCTAGGTGCATTAGTGTGTGGCGTTTATGAACTACAACTGCATTCTTATTGCAACCATTTAAAAAGTATCGTTATGTTAGCTCAGTTCTGTTCAGGATATGAACATACAGTGCCCCATGCTGAAGTCGATAGGAGTGGTGTAGGTTTTTTTTTGTCGGGGATGGCCCAGTAACCATACGTATGTCCAACCACGCCATACCATACTTGTTCTCTCTTGGGCAGTCGTCAGGAGAGGACGTGTCCTGTTGCGGCGTATGCGGCGCATTCGGAGACGTCTACGCGCTGACTCCTGCGCCAGCTTTGTGTCACTGGCTTAATCGCACGGGGAGAAAAAGGGATAGGCCTTTCATCTTTGCTGCATTTCGATCGCTGGAAGTGGAGCCTTAACGTAACTCTGACGTCGATAATCAGGGAGTTCATGGAGAGAAATCGAACTGATCAGGTAGCTTGTTGTCGGAGCAGTAGGTGAGGAGGTGGAACCCTTTAAGCGGGAGCTAGCTGCATTAAGAGCTGAAAGTCGTGACCTGCGCAAGCTGGCCGTAAACGTGAAGCATTGGCCCATGGAACTGAGCAATATCCTAGAAACTGCTGTCACATACTCAATGGATGTGGACTTCAGAAACAAAGCCTGAAGAACCTCCAGCAGAAGCTAGGGCTATGACCCTAAAGGTTATCGGGGAAAAACTAAATGTAGATGTGAAGGAAAAGAGTTGGCGTGCCAAGCCCCCGTCTAAAAAAGAATGCTGGTCGGGGTCTAGGTTCTAGATGATCAGGATAATGTCTACCAGACAAATTCAAGCAAGCTGACGGCTCAGGCATATCATCCACGAGAACCTGAGAGAAAAACGTGCTCATTAGGTTAAAGTTGTTAGGAACTGAAGAAATCACACCTGCCAGAAATTCGCGAGAAAAAAGGTATGTCCGTCCAGTCGTGGTTTAGATAGGACATGAACATCAAAGCCATGGGAGATGCACCCACGACGTCGTCATCGGGAATTAGAGTGACATCCCATCCGGTCATGTCCCGGCAACAGCTGCGAACCTCGAGCAGTTTGTGAGTGACATCCCATCCGGTCATGTGCCGAGAACAGCTGCGAACCTCGAGCAGTTTGTGAGTGATATCCCATCCGGTCATGTCCCGGCAACAGCTGCGGACCTCGAGCAGTTCGTGAGTGACATCCCATTCGGCCGTATCCCGGGAACAGCTGCGAACCTCGAGCAGTTTGTGAGTGACATCCTATTCGGCGATGTCCCGGGAACAGCTACGAACCTCGAGCAGTTTGCGAGTGACACCCCATCCGGTCATGTCCCGGGAACAGCTGCGAACCTCGAGCAGTTTGTTGTCGTAAGTGGGAGGCGAACTGGCGCTGGAACCAGCCAGTCCAGAAAGGCTAAATCAGGTAGTCAACTTTCTCACCAAGCCTGCAACATTCTGCCTGAAGGGCGTGATTTAGTCCCACGCCCTGTCACTGGCATGTGATGGAGTGTCGTTGGCTGGAGCTCTGCAAATCATAACTCCATTATCCAGTGAAGCCTGTGCCTCCCAGGCGTGCTCCCTGAGCTCGCAATGAAGTCAGCCTGAGCTTTGGAGCATGTTAGCGTATGAGCGTGTGGATGTTTCGTGAGTGCTGAGAGTACCTAGCCAAGCAAACGGACTTGGTTATCTCACTGTTTCTGCACCACCAGCTATAAGGCACCAAATCGAATGGGGTTGCCATCGTGCATACGGTACGGGCCATGCCGTATAAGTGTAGATGGGTGTATAAGTGTGCGCGCGTGGGTATGGGAATGGGTGAGAGAGAGGGGGAGAGAGAGGGAGAGTATAGATAGTTGAATATATTATAATAACAATATATATGTATTTATATATATATATATATATATATATATATATATATATATATACATATATACGTACACACATTTAAATGAGTTACGTGTGTGACGTTGGTTTGTATGGGCATGCATTGCGGTGTGTATCAGATTCACTTCGTCTTCCGCAAAGCGCCATAACGGCGCCACCCTGACTGACACATCGGCTTTTCTGACACCACCTGACATCAGACCTGCGTAGTTGGCGGATGGTGGGGGTGGCGGCGCGCACACAACAAGACTGGGATATCGTTCTGTCTCTAGACACTTTGTATTTCAGTAGCCTGACGTCGTTCTGCAACTCTCTACTAATTGGGTGATGGTGTAAGCCACTAGTCACCGTTGAAACTGGGTACTTTAAATTATCTCTCACTGACAGTTGCTTTCATAACAATATTAATGGTGACTGATTCACCCTATTTTTGCTTTTTGTTTTTACCCTTTACCTTTTTAACCTTTTTTTGCTTTTTTGTTTGCTTGCTGTTCCGTTGATTTTTTGTTTTTGTTTTGCTTAGTAGGTTTCACATTTGTTAGGCGGAAGTGCCGCGCCCTTCAACTTCCCAGTTACTAATGCCGGCATTAACGCAACGTTTTGTGTGCCGCGGTGGACAGGGGTGGTCATTCGGTCAACTGTTCATGGGTGATGGGTAGGTATGAAGTTTAAGTCTGAAAATACATCCCTAGGGGTAGGCTAGCCATACTACAGCTGAAAGAACAGCTTTATTATTTCTAATGCAAGTGTTTAAAAAAACACATACATCATTTGTCATGCGGGTTGGGCCCATATCCGATTCTGCATCGCTCGTCAAGATTCCGCGCCATCTTGAGGTATAATATGGAAGAAATGGGCGTAATCCTTAGTAGCGCGTTTCAGCTAAACAATACATTTGGGTGGGAAAATCAGACTCAGTGTCTGCCTGTAAATCCCGCGATATACCAGCACCTTAACTGCTCACGAAGGCGTCCAGCCAACCGTCACCGCCGTTTGATCTGAGCAATCGGTTCCTCGTCGGCGGCTTTGCGCTCCGAGGAACACTCGGTTCTGATCTCGCGCGGCGGTCGGTCGTTCCGCGTGCAATCAGAGCTGCGTAAATCGTTTGAAATGAATCGACATCGGCAGCCTGATTGCCCCGTCCGCCGCACGCTACCAGGGAGGGGTCGTCGGCCTCATCTTCGCATCGGATGTCCGTGGATAAGCCGGTTTGAACCGGAAACGGTCGGTTTGACACCGGGTAAGGCGCGCGCAGTGGCGCGCTGGGCTGCGCCAGGCCGCGCGCCCAGAGTAGGGAGTCTTGCTGGCTTGGGGCGAGGAGTGAGATAAGTAGAGCTAGGATGTCGCTGCACTTTGAGATTTGAATCTTAGGGTGGATGATCTGATTAAGATCCAAGATTGAAATGGATTTAAACGGATAGGAAGGTTTGTATCACAACTACGAGCTAATGCAATGTAAGAACGCCATATTTTTGGGCTTTTCCGTGTGCTGGAGAAAATTACTTTCTCCCATTATATCACACTCAGTAAGCCCCCCCCCCCAAAAAAAAACAGTCGACAAGACTGGAGATGGAGAAAACTACAAGTTTTGCTCAAAATATGGCGGGGAAGTGCCCAGAAAATATAATGTCTTAACATTACAATTTCCGTGTTTCCGAGGACGAACAATCCAAGAGATATTTGCGCAAACGGCAGGAATTAGTCCAAAATTATAAACGGCTGCTCAGAAAACTGTAAAAGATCCTCGATTACTTGGAAACTGTTCTCCTGGAAAATCACAGATGGAGAAAGCTTGGCAAATGGGTAGCGTTCCTCCATTTGGAATATTGGAAGCTTCCATAAATCTTGCTGCACCTTGCGCCATTAGAGGCAACGAGCTTGTGCAATCAAACTTTTGTAAAGTCGTTTTGCAGACACTTCGTAACGTGATTTGTAGGAAACTGTTAGTGCATTATCACATAAGATAGGAAATGCATATAGATTATGAATAAAATATACTATAAAACCATGTGATGCGAGGGATACGAAAATTTCGCGGCTCAAGGATATTAAATCTTTCGGCATTGTTCCTCTATTTGACTTCGGAACAGGGCACGTGTTGACATCGGCAATGCATATTTAAGTAAGGCAAATATCCTTTTTCGCTGAATTTGAAAGCGGAATTGTCAGACTTTTGGGAGAAAATGGGGAGGGGGAGGCGTGCTCTGCAAGTCGCTTTTCGTACGTCGCTCACTTTGAAATCGTCCCTGCGTCTCACATGCTCACCATTACTAACCGCATCAATCACCATTGCCGACAGTTGCGTCACCGCACGTCACATATCTCGCCCTGTTCCAGTCGAACCTGTGGACCAAGCTGTCGTCGAGGCCGACGCCTGCCCGCGGCGGCCAGCGGGCGTCGCCGCCGACCGCCCAGAGGTCACCCAGGGGCCTGCGGGGTCACTCGGCCGTGGTGCACGCCGACGCCATGTACCTGTACGGCGGCTACCGCGACCTCTTGGGCTCCACCGGTGAACTCTGGCGCTATGAGTTCGGTGAGTGGGCAGCGAGGCGCAGGCGTGGGTCCGGGCGGCGAACGTCACTTACCACACTGGGCCTTCGCTGACTTATGAGGTTGTACCTATTGCGAGTTCAAGCTGTGTTTTGGGACAGGGATCATCCTACCATGACCAGACCATTGTCTTAATTGTAGTTTGGATGTTGTTTTTTTTCGAGCACAGGCGAAGCATAGTAAATAGTCTTTGACTATGTCATAGAAATGGGCCAACAAAGAGAGCTAATGTGTGCCGTTTTGCGGCTTTTCGGGGCTGAAAAGTCGGCACAAGAAGACATTGTTAGAAAAATGTTCACGAGGTCAATATTTGGTTAAGATCTGATTTCGCCGGCATTCTTATGTGTAAAGTCCACTGCCACAACAATGCATATATATAACATAGAATCGACAGATCCAAGAATAGAATATTGCACATCGTCAGACCTTCCTCAGCCACACCATCAATGCATTCTTCATCTCCCTCCCTCTCCTCTTACTCACCGAATGTTTACATCACGTGGAAATATGCCGTTGATGAAAGAACTGCATGTTGACTTACAAGTGCTTATATTTGTACTAAATGTGTCTTATCGCCGTCAACGTGCCCTGAAGCGAGATCATTTATGAGCAATATCACTGACTGTATGTCCGTTTGTTTGTACCAGTTTTGCCGTGACTGCATCACGTTATCTTATATGCATATTACGATCTTATTCCGCTAATGATTTATGGCGATTTAGAATATCATATCTTACGAACATGTAGGCTGGCTATATAAAGGCTACGCTATACCCTTAACAGATAATATGCCCTTATTACGTTCCACATCATGGCATGACGCACACGCAAGAATGTTCCACAAATGAGAATCACATTTACAAGAGCTCAAAACAAAAAAACCAATATTTACCTGTTTCACAATAATTTTATCAATGGTGTATTTCCACTTGGTGTCAGAATTCTGAGAGGAGGAAAAAGGAGAGAGTTAGGGAATGAAATGATGATTTGGCTGAAAGCGGCCAATGGTGTGTGAGATTTTATCGTTATTTGATCTGTCCCTTTGACGTTCTGTATATGCTTTTTTAGTTGTCTTTGATCTGTATGAAGATTAGCGAGTTCAGAAGTTAGCCAAAGTGTTGGGAACGCGACCTTTTTTTTAAAAAAAAACTAAGCTTGTCTGTTTTTCAGTCCTGTAGAAGATGCGGGCTGAATCATATTCACCCCTTTGGCCATGTTCTAAGCATGAGTAACGACTATGTACCACACTTCACATGATTGTCCTTTATCATTGATAGGATAAGTCGATAAATCTGCAACGCGTGCACCATTGAACTATCAGATATTATGTTATTTTTTCATCTCTTCGGGCGGTTTGAACTCGGGAGGATTTGCGCTACAGGTCTTGTTGGGTTTACTATGAACTTCCGTGATCGAAGTTGTCTTGTTCCAATCCTGGGACATTTATACCTACGGGCCACTTTATTCTGGCAGGCCTGCGGCGGGCTTGTTGCCCTGCTGTAAAGTGCTACAAAACCACCGGTCCACACTGAGTCATCCCGCACTGGCCAGTTGGCATCTGATCGTTCGGTTCATGCGGAGCCAAAGCGAGCAAACTCTGCAGTTTGTACTCAGTGCCACAGTATACCGAATCAGGCAATCATTTCTTTCGACCACGGCGGGTTGTGATCGATGTGGCAGGGGAAACGACTTTAAACCAATTTGTTGCGTTTTGATATCGAGGAGAAACCTGGCTTCGAGCATTGCTCTTTGGTGTGTGGCCGTTCTTTTCTCTATTGGGTCTCACCGTCGCAAAAAAAGACTGGACGACGTAGCCTGAAATATTGCCGCTGGGCCCTCGGGGAACCATTCTGATTTTCATTTCGTGGCCCAGAAATAAAAAGGGATCTGCGGAACGATAAATCGTCTCGCCGTGTCTGGAGAGAAGGGACGGAGGGGACGCGGCGACGTTATCATCGCCGGCCGACAAAACACCAGCGCCGTAGCCATAATCCCGCTAAGGCCTGCTTTCGAGCGCCGCGCTGGCGACGGCGGGTGTTTTGCTTGATGGTGTCGCCCCGGTGCTCTCCATGCTGCTGCCGTACGACGGTGGCAGCAGCCGGATGGAGTCGCCGCCCCTCCCCGTGCCATCCCTCAACCCCTCCATCAAGAGCAGGTCCCGCCCCCTGTTTGTTCACCGGCATGGCAGATCACTGGCCGGTGACTTCCACTCACTGTATTGATCGTATCTGGGACGCGGCGCCTGCCGCCGACGCCCCGATGCCGCGCCGTTGCCTCGAGCCAGGCGACCTGCGGCACGGCGGTGTCAGCTCGCTCCGCTGCCGAACCGGGCGGTGGCACCACCCTCACCAGGCTGCCGGACCGTGCAGCGGTACCACCCTCACCAGACGGGTGGACCTTGCGGCGGCACCTCCTCCATCAGACTTCGAACCGCGCGAGGGCACGGCCTCCACGAAGCTGTCGAACCATGCGGGGGCACCGCCTCCACGAGGCTGTTGAACCGCGCGGAGGCACCGTCTCTACGAGGCTGTTGAACCGCGCGGAGGCACCGTCTCTACGAGGCTGTTGAACCTTGCGGGGCACCGCGTCGACCAGACTGCCGAATCGTGCGGAGCCACCACCATCACCAGGCTAGCGGACCGTGCGGGGCACCGCCTTCATGAGGCTTTCGAACCGTGCGGGGCACCGCCTTCACGGTGCGGGGCACCGCCTTCACGAGACTGTCGAACCGTGCGGGGCAACCGCCTTCACGAGGCTGTTGAACCGTTCGGGGCACCGCCTCCACGAGGCTGTCGAACCGTGCGGGGGCACCGCCTTCACGAGGCTGTTGAACCGTTCGGGGGCACCGCCTCCACAAGGCTGTCGGATCGTGCGGGGCACCGCCTCCACGAGGCTGTCGGATCGTGTGGGGCACCGCCTCCACGAGACTGTCGAACCGCGCGGGGCACCGCCTCCACGAGGCTGTCGAACCGTGCGGGGCACCGCCTCCACAAGGCTGTCGGATCGTGTGGGGCACCGCCTTCACGAGGCTGTCGAACCGTGCGAGGCACCGCCTCCACAAGGCTGTCGGATCGTGCGGGGCACCGCCTTCACGAGGCTGTCGAATCGTGCGGGGCACCGCCTTCACGAGGCTGTTGAACCGCGCGAAGGCACCCGCTTTCACGAGGCTGTTGAACCGCGCGAGGCACCGCTTTCACGGTGCGGGGCACCGCCTTAACGAGGCTGTCGGATCGTGCGGGGCACCGCCTTCACGAGGCTTTCGAACCGTGCGGGGCACCGCCTCCACAAGGCTGTCGGATCGTGTGGGGCACCGCCTTCACGAGACTGTCGAACCGTGCGGGGCACCGCCTCCACGAGGCTGTCGGATCGTGCCTACGTGCGTCACGTACGATAGCGTGCTCCCTGAGTCACATTCTGTTTGGTGCCCTGGTGCAATGTCAAATGGGGAAGGGACACGAGTCAACACGGTCACAAAACAAACTGCGAGAGAAGTCAACTGACGACAAGTCAAACAGGATCGGCACGTTCACAGTACCAGTGCTGCCCACTCGGTTCCGAGCGTATGATCGCTACGATCATAGTACCAGTGCTGCCCACTCGGTCCCGAGCGTATGATCGCTACGATCATAGTACCAGTGCTGCACACTCGGTCCCGAGCGTATGATCGGTACGATCATAGTACCAGTGCTGCCCACTCGGTCCCGAGCGTATGATCGGTACGATCATAGTACCAGTGCTGCCCACTCGGTCCCGAGCGTATGATCGGTACGATCATAGTACCAGTGCTGCCCACTCGGTCCGAGCGTATGATCGGTACGATCATAGTACCAGTGCTGCCCACTCGGTCCCGAGCGTATGATCGGTACGATCATAGTACCAGTGCTGCCCACTCGGTCCCGAGCGTATGATCGGTACGATCATAGTACCAGTGCTGCCCACTCGGTCCCGAGCGTGTGATCGGCACGTTCACAGTACCAGTGCTGCCCACTCGGTCCCGAGCGTGTGATTCGGCACGTTCACAGTACCAGTGGCTGCCCACTCCGGTCCCGAGCGTATGATCGGCACGTTCACAGTACCAGTGCTGCCCACTCGGTACCGAGCGTGTGATCGGTACGATCATAGTACCAGTGCCGCCCGCTCGGTACCGAGCGCAGGATCGGTACGATCATAGTACCAGTGCCGCCCACTCGGTTCCGAGCGTAGGGCAGGTACGTTCATATTACCAGTGCCGCCCTCTCCGTCCTGATCGAAGGACTGGTGCGCTCACAATACCAGAGCCGTCCTCGGGACAGGAATACCAAAATAACTGTATCTCAACTATGCAGGTTCTATCTCAACCTGATATTCCAAAATGTCCTATCTAAGGTCCTGTCCTGTCCTGTCCTATCCATTAACTACTGACACCAGTCGGAGTCGAAATATTTGGTTGAGCGCAAACTGATGTAAATCTATTCGCTTTATGCTCAGTCACAGAAAAAATCCGTTATTTTTTAACATGCGCTCGGTTGGTGGTTAATCTGACCCCGAATAATTTTCTAGAATCGTTTCCAAACGGCACGGTGTAGCCATGCCAAATTTTTCATAATTGTAGGCAATTGAATAGCGGATTGTTTGGTGTCAAAAGTATAGATATGCCTTGTAAAGTCGCTGGACTACGTTGGGTTAAAGTCAGGCCATGGATTCAGCGAAGACGATTTCTGGGGAGCCCTTCAATCTGATGAAACGACAGGGTATTAAACGAAGCTTTTCATTTCTGAGATTGCTTTTTAGGCAACATAACAATTGAATTAACCAATTCCATTGGCGTAGGGTCAGATTTGAAGGTCAAACCTGGGTCAAACCAACCTGTTGTATTACTGTAGAGATTGCTATATGGGGTAGTTTCTGGTGGTTATTCCGAATTTATTGATGACAGGAACTGCATTATATATCTTCCATAGACTTCCTAAGGGCTAGGATAGGTCACTGACACAAAATAACCTA